GTGCATGGTGATAGACATGTGTCTAATTTTAGTTTTTGTCATGCAGAAAACCAGTTTTTCTGGCACCATTTATTAAAGAGGCAATCTTTCTTCCAGTGAACATGTTTGGCCCCTTTGTCAAAGATAAAGTGGCTGCATGTGTTTGGAATTATGTCTGCATCCTCTAATCTGTTCCATCAATCTTCAGGTCTGTTTATCTTGCCAGTACCATGCTGATTTTATCATAGTAGCTTTGTAGTGTAATTTCAAATCAGGAATTGTAACGCTCCTGCCTTGCCTTTGTTGCCCAGCACTGCTTTTGCTATTCTAGGTCTCTTCTAGTTCCAGATAAATTTTAGGAATGTTTTCTCTAGTTCTGTGAGGTATGCTAATGGTATTTTGATTGGGATTGTATGAAATCTGTATAATGATTTTGAGCTATGTTCGTCTTCCTATTCCTGGGCAACGGTTATCTTTCCATTTTCTGATAGCTTTTTTGATCTCTCTTCAGAGTACTGTAGTTTTCAATGTATAGATCTTTTACTTCTTTGTTAGACTGATTCCTAAGCATTTCATTTTGGGGGATGCTAGTGTGTAGGTTGTGGCTTCCCAAATTTGTCTTTCAGTGAGCTTGTTTTTGTACAGGAATGATATTGATTTCTGAGTGTTGACTTTATATCCAGCTACACTACTGAATTTGGTTATTAAATCTGTAAGTCTTTCAGAGGAGTTTTTGGGGTCTGCTATGTACAGTAGCATGTCATTAGATAATGATAATTTAACCTCTTCCTTTGTTCTCATTATTCCTTTTATTTCTTTCTGTTGTCTAATTATTCTGGCTAATGTTTCCAAAACTGTATTAAACAGGAGTGCTGTTAGTGGACTTCCTTGTCTTGTTCCTGATTTTGGAATGAAAGCTTTCATATTTGATCATTTAGTATGATGTTAGGTGTTGGGTTTATCATAGACGGCCTTCATCAGATTGAGATAGAGACCAGCTATTCCAATTTTCTGTAGTTTTTTTTTGGTCATGAATAGGTGTAGGATATTGTCAAAAGCTTTTTTCTGCATCTATTGAGGTGATCATGTGGTTTTTGTCCTAGACTGTATTCATGTG